CTAGGAGAAGAGGCAGAGAAGTCTTCTGCTTTGGCTCTAATAGCTAAGTGGTTCAGGCATTCATCTGTCTCATCAGGGAAGTCAAAGACTAAATGGAACAAAGACACTTAACTGTCCTCTCTCCCCTCTAAATGTGGCTGGCTCAGATAAGGCAGGAGGTATACTGGCAGAGGATACTTTGAAGCAGTCAGCACTGCAGCCCATCATGCTTTGAAATGGCTGGCTGGACCCTCTCCAAAATCCTTAAGTTTCACAAAAATAGAAACGACTGCAACTGAAAGTCGTATTATCCAGATGTTGGTACAAGCTCTGAGAGTGTTCCTGTGCTAGAAGACACAACACACAATGTGCCCTCTGGTGGCTGTAACGCCACCAGCTGCTTCACATCAAAGTGAGAGGAAAGAGCAGGATCAAGCACAGAAACGAGCACTGCACAAGGATGCAAGTCAGGTTTGAGGAAGAAGAAAAACACTGTTGTAAAGCCATTTGTGATAAGAGGATGAGAAAAAAGAGAAAGGAGCAGACCCTGCTGCCTGCCTCCAGTTATTCAGCACAGCATACGGGACCTGGAAAGCAGCCCTGCTGGCCCAGGCCCGGGGGCAAGACCCTCTTTGTGTGAGCTTTGCTATACAAATACCTCAATCCCAAGCTGCAGTGGTTAATTTAAGAGGTAGGTGAAGCAGGAGAGTCATATGCCTGCTGTTACTGATGGCATGTGGCTGCTTTCAGAAATAACTGGTGCAGTCCCTTAGCCATGTAAATGTGCACATGACCCTACAGTTATCAGTGAGGTCAAGTTGTCAGACCCAGTAGGGTGAAGTTAAATGCAGAGATATTACAGAATGGAGTGAGTGTCTTGCCTGCTTAGGTTTCACATGCTATGCAGACGAGGCCAGGTCATAATTAGGAGTCTGTGGAAACAGGATGCAGAGGAATGGAAGAGGACCAAAGGAAGCCATTATGAAAACAAACTGATGACATGCTACTTCCTAGCTCAAAGTAGTGATTGTGGGCCCACAAAGAGTTGGCCAACAGAAGTGAATTTGTGGAAGGGTTTTTCAAACAGCAGTTGCTTACTCAAGTTAGGCTCTTATTAAAGATGGGATTTTTCTTGCATATAGACTTATAAAACATTGAGAAGAATGACCAAAGGCAGGGTGATAGGTAAAGAGACACTGTGGGACACTGTGTGCTGGCAACAGCAGCAGATGATGTTTTTCTGCGAAAGAGCAGTGACTGTTGACTTAGGTGGCCATACCAACAAACTGCAACATCAGAAGGGAAAGAATTAAACTAGTCAGGGTGGCATTAGAAAGAAAATGCTGATCAACCTAGCAAGGATATATGCTCTGTGCCTTGGAAGTTTTTGGATAAGGAGAAGCTTAGGCAACCAATGGACAATATTAATGTCTAGAAGGTGTACCTGCTAATGACATGGCAAGATTGCAAAAGACGCAGCAAGGTACAACTTTGGTAGCAATGGGAAAATTAGGAATTAGTGGCAGAAAGGGAAATAAACAAACCTTTCCAAAGAAAAGGCATCACTGGGAGACCAAACTGGTCAAAAGAAGTAAAAAAGGTAAGTCAGATGGATGGCAAGGAGAAATCAATAATAATGGAGTTGCAGGAGACATTCTGACTCTCATATCGTAACAACACAGAGACATAAGAGGAGTTGAAGCATAAGCTCTTGGTAGAGTCAGCAGTACTTAAGAAAGACAAAAAGAAACAAAAATAGTGTCAGCAAAACAGGTTGTTTGAAAATGGCCAGAGGAAAACTTTCAGAGTTGGAGCAGAGGGGAGAAGAATATGATAATAAATGAACAAAGTGGGACTGATATTTTAATAGAGCTATGGGAAAGAAAGGCACTCTACAATTCTTCAGGAAAGTGCACTGAAAAAAAAAGAAACTTCAAATGATGTGGCCTGATAAATCAAAGAAAAGTGCAGACTATAGCAATCCAGCTAAAAAAAATCTTAAAATCCTAAAAGGAATTGCACAAATCCTGCAGGGGATAGAAATGGGAAACAAAATACATTAACATTTTAGAATATTGTAAATATTTCAGAATTCTTCAGAAGGAAAAGGTTGGTGAAGAAATGAAGGAAACACTGAAGAAAAAGTATTTTAGGAGATTAGTTGAAAACAGAGCTCAATGCACAAAATACAGTTCAGTCAACAAACATGCACCATTCCAGCTATGTGGTATTCCACTGCAGGGGTAACCTGGATGACAACTGAGATAAGGGAAGAGGACAGGGAGACTAGGAGGAAGTTAATGATGTGTTTTGTAATGAACATGAAATAAGAAGTGGACAGGCTTTATGCTGACAGGAAGGATGGAGGAAAAGGGCTGAGAGCAGCTGAGGATGTTGTGGAACAAGAGTGTGTAATGATAGCAAACTATACGAGAACAGAAGATGGACTGTCTGGATCTTGGATCACAACTCAATGATGCAAACATTCTTATTAGCAGTAAATCATCACACAGAGAACAACGAGAGATATGCAGAGAGAAATGGATAGAGAAAGAATTACATGAAAGTTTTGTAGTAAAACATATCAGAGGGAATTATAAGTGGTTTCTGAAATGACTGAAACGAGAAAGTGACAGTTTAATTATGGCCACACAGGAGCAGATTATTTCCACAAACTATGTAAAAGCAAAGGTCATGGTCAGAAAGATCTAAGTCCTGAGTGCATGGCCAAGACCTGGATAATTTTAGTCATCATTTAAGTGGATGTACCAAGTTGACCAGAGATACATATAAGGTATGCCATGACCAACCGGCAGCATTTTACAAGGAATACTCTGCAAGAAGCCTGGGCTAAAAAGCAAGAGGTGTACAATTACTACACAGTTGTAGAGAAAAACAGGGTCAAAATATCACAGGATTATTAATTCTTACTGGGTGTGTCTACACAAGATGCTTCGAGCACAGTAGACTAATACTACTGCGCATTAGCATGGCAGGCAAAACCCATGTTAACGTGCTAACGCGCAGTAGAATTAGTCTACTGTGCACTAGCATCACAAAAACACGTGTGCCAGTGCCAATGCACAGTTGTGCTGATTTGACAGTGCATTAATGAATGTGTAGACTGTTTATGAAATATGTGCTGGAAGGCTGGTTATAAAAAAGAGAGTACTTCATTATGGACTTCGATTTTCCACTTGATGAAAAATGTTCAATCAAGAAATATGACTGATTCCAGAAGAAACTGAAAAAATATGTGGCCTGAGAAGCATAAGTAAAATACCAGCTATCTGTGGTGCATTAAGCTCTCATAAGCAGGGAACCTGGTTTTCTCTGATTTTAAAAAATCCCCAGTTTTCGGTTAAAAAAGAGTAATGCCAAACCCACATTTTTCCATGGTTAAAATGAAACACCACTAATACAGATATCTATATAGTGGGGTTTTATTTTAAGCACGGAAAAATGTAGATTTGGCGTTACTTTTTTTTAACTGAAAATTGGGTTTGTTTTTTTAAATCAGAGAAAACCAGGATCTCTGCTCATAAGGGATAACAGTGCTGCACAAAATGGAAACTAGCTCTATTATAAGACCACGTGGCCTTCACACAGCGTTACTGAGGCTGAGGAAGGTGATGATAACGTTGGAAACTCCCTGATGCCTAGATCTAAATTATCCCTGTGTTAGCTGCTGCGTTTCCCCACAACCCTGGTGGGAGAATAATAACGACAACAAAAGCTATAGGATTTTAAATGATTCACTAAAGATATCCTTCAGCAACGTTGTGTTGAATGCAGCTGTCTTTCAGGAAAGTCAGTTTTTAAAATGAAATAGCCTGATAGTGAAGTTAAATAGCAGCTTTCCCTAGAACGAGGGGAGCAGCGCTGTCTCTGATGTAGAAGACAGTCCTGAAAGGTAACACTCCTGAGCCATATTCGTGGGACAAGCCAGTTCACCACTACATAGGTGCATCAGTTTCCCCAGCTGGGAAACGGGCATAAGAATTGCTTATGCGCCTCTCAGAGGTGTGGCGAATATTAACTCGTGACTGTTTATCGTCACCTGGAAGTGTCTTAAAGGACAGAGCGCTTTTCTTAAGCAAAGAATTTGGTTTTTAAATCAGCATTAGAGAGAATAAGCTTGCCATAACGGATCGCTTCTCTTGTATTTTGCAGCCGTCCAGTAGCGCTTAGTTCAGCGCGGGATCAGGACAGCGCCATACGATTCCTGACCGAGGGACTGTACCGCTAGCACGCCCAGCCGCGATCTTTGCGGCTCTCCCAGGGAAGTCGGTACAGACGCTGCCCTGAGGCGACCCTCCCGCTGCCCCAGGCCCGTGTCGTTACGCGGTTGTTACGCTCCGCGCCCAGCTCCCCCGACGGCAAGAAAACAGCGCAAGGCGGGAATCGTGTTTGCGGGCCAAGCCCGCAGCCCGCTTGCCTGCCCCAAGGGGGTAGGGGCGGGAGCCCCCAGCCAGGCCCGGACCCCTCGGGCAGAGCAGCAGGGACCGTCACGGGGGCACCCACCTGTCAGCCCCGCCCCTCAGAGCCACTCTCCCGCCATGCCCCGCAGTGGGCATTAGCTCCTCTCCCATGATGCCCCGCGGCCGCGGCTTAGCGCCTCTCCCATCATGCCCCGCGGCGGTGGAACCACTTTTCTCCCGTCATGCCCCGCGGCCCCGTGGCCCGCGGCGGCGATTAGCTTCTTTCCCAGGATGCCCCGCGGCCCCGGCTTAGCTTCTCTCCCGTCATGCCCCGCGGCGGTGGAACCACTTCTCTCCTGTCATGCCCGTGTGGCGGGGCATTAGCGCCTCTCCCGTGATGCTCCGCGGCCTCCCTCCCGTCATGCCCTGCGGCGGGGTATTAGCGCATCTCCCGTGATGCTCCGCGGCCTCTCTCCCGTCATGCCCTGCGGCGGGGGTGGTTAGCGTCTCTCCCGTGATGCCCCGCGGC